ACTTCTAGGTATCCTGCAAAGGATTCTCATCGCATCATTATATGCAACATGCAGCTTCTGCATGCTACATTGTTTGTAGGATGACCACAAGGGGGCAGTATATAGCGGTGTGCAATACGCTTTAAACAAAGCCACTTTAACTGGAAGTGAACAAAAGCTGAATTTGCGTGCAATAGTATTTGCCTGAATATTGTAGCTGGTGGTCTTGTTTCTCATAACACAGTTTCTTGCATTATGGCTCTTTGTTTTTGAAAAATTAGAATGACTAATAACATTGATGTTACTTTCAGACGTGTTTGGCCCGTCTGCAGAGTGAATTCAACTCATCCCAGCTTCGACTGAAACAGCGAATAACGGCCCTGGAAAGCAGCATCCCCACAGCAGCAACTGGCAGCGGCTTCCTGTCAGATGCTGACGGCAATGAGAGTATTTCTGGTGGTGACAGTGTGCGAAGTGAAATTACCTTCCGATTTTAAATAATGTCTTAAATTAGTTTTCCTGAAATATTTAGCATAATTTCTTCTTAGAAGTTTCTTTTAGTTTGAAGCTTTCTTAATACCACTGAACAGTTGCTCACACCTTTATGATTAAATATATAGAGAAAATTGCCAGTATACAGTAGAGTAATGCAATAAATAAACAATGCTTGAGAGAGAGAGGGAACCTAAAGACGAAAAATACAGCTGACTTATGTCCTAATTATGTCTTAATCTACTATTTGGCATGCATTAAAGGTACAGTATGTAAAATCTCACCACTACACGTCAGCAGATTGCGATGTGAGAATGTAATCAAATTGTTTATCAGAGGGAAAGTGGGATTTTTAGGACACTTAAGCCTCACATTAGCTGGTATAATGTTAGCTTATGTTTTGTTGTTGTTGCATTTTTTAGTGGCTTTTTGTTAGCTGTCTGAAAACAGCAGGTTTGCATGCCTAACCTGCTGACACTAGCTAACTGTGACAGTAATGAAAATGTTTAAGCCCTAAATTCATTTAAGGACATGAGGCTTGAGGCGAGGAGGAAGAAAATGAGGTGCAAATGAGGAAGGAGAGTGGGCAAGGGTGTAGGAGGTGAATGGAGGCATAATGAGAATGAGAACAATTTTGCCACTGATTTCTAGCCACATACATAAAAAGACGATTACAGCGATGTCCACTTTGGCCACTGTATTTAAGATTTGTGTGACAAAAAGGCAGCTTCCACAAAGCCACTTTGTATTTTTCATGGATTAATTATGAGTTTATGAGAATGGACCAGTTTGTTGGTAGACTTAATTCAGCTATAAGTACAATAGTAGTTTTATGTTAAATAACTTAAAAAAAAAATAATTACTATACCATCAAATCATCTTAAACGTAATCACATAAGTGTGAAGGTTTTTCTGGTCATGTGGTTGATTTGGTTTGTCTTTGTTAGTATGCCTGTTAGCAGGATTTTTCCCATGGAGCTTTTATCAGTGGTGGGCCTTGCTCCAACTTAGAAATGATTAACTTAATCATCTGAAAAAATCCTCTTGTTTTCAAGAAATAATAATACATTTGGATCAGATATCCTGGGGATTCAGTTCATGGTGTGGAGGGACTTTCAGCCCTGTAAATGATTTCAGACTGGGTCCCACTTATCTACGTTATGCTATCATACAGTGTGCATTTTTAGTTTATGAGGACTCCTGCTGTTCAAAGTGTTCCACTGATCACATTTTCTGTCACAGCCCATTTCCTTTCATTTCATTTCATCCGCTCTAATTAAAGAGATTAATACAGAGCATGTCTTTCATCCTTCTGTCTAAGTGATCACAGATAAAACAGCATGAGTCATTTTATTATTTTCAGTGTTTTTAGCATGCAGTTTAGTCTATTTCTCAGAAACTCTGAAAAAGTATGAACAATTTTGTAATCAAACGGTATATTTTTAACACAAATACTGAACATTTATTAACAATAAATTACATCATTTGAATGCATTCTTTTATACTCTGTGTGTGTGTGTGTGTGTGTGTGTGTGTGTGTGTGTGTGTGTGTGTGTGTGTGTGTGCAAGTTAATAATGGTGTCATACCCATTATAACATGGTAACTGTATAACTGCAGTCATGTCAGCAACTGATTTTAGAGCAAAGTCCAACACTACATAGCTGTGAGATTTCAGGAAGTGAAACGGGGAAAAATCACTGTTGAAAAGCAGGTAAAAAAAACCTATTTAAAAACAATTTATTTGCCTCGTTGTTCTTTTATTTTCGCCCTTCACTGTTAATCTTTATCTCTCTTGTCGCTGCGTTTCTCTCTCGCTTGCATTTGACTTCATCTTCTTGTTTTCCTCTGCTCTAGTTGCACTTTTTTCTTCCTGCCTCTGATCATTGTAGTCGCAGAACAAATAAATAACGAATGATTATGATTGAAATCACATTTTTTCTTCCTTCAGAATCTTTGAACGTGGTCTTAACCAAGTATGCTTAGGTCATGCATGTGTATCCAGTAACACCTGTAGACAGTATGAGTATTGCTGAAAATGTGTTAATACATAGTGTTTCTGACTCATGTCAAAAACTGTTTAGTTCAGTACAATTCGCAGTTTTCTGTTGTGTTTTATTATTTATTAAGATTAAAAGACTGAAACACCCCATATTCAGATGATTTTTTACGGGACTAAAATTAAAGTCTTCCTCAATGAACACATTCATCCAAGGGTGATTAGGGATGAAGAACCAGAGCATCTCCAAAACTGTGACTCTTGTGGGGTGTTCACGGTCTGCAGTGGTCAGTATCTACCAAAACTGGGCCAAACAAGGAAAGACTGTGACCCAGTGACAGGATCATGCAAAGGCTGGCCCATGTGGTCCAATCCAACAGACGAGTTGGTGTAGCTCAAATTGTCAAAAATCGTGATCCTGGTTCTGGTATAAAGGTGTCAGAATGCACAGAGCGTCGTAGAGTATAGGGCTACATAGCTGCAGACCAGTCAGGGCGCCCATGCTGACCCCGTCCACTGCTGAAAGCACCAACAATGAACATGAGAGCATCAGAACTGGACCATGGAGCATTGGAAGAAGGTGACCTGGTCTTCATTTGGATGGTTGGATTTGTTTGCAGCACTTACCTGAAGAAGGCAATCCAGCGTAGGCAGTGTGATGCTTTGGGCAATGTTCGGATGGGAAACTTTGGGTCCTGCCATCCATGTGGATGTTACTTTGACACGTACCATCTACACGCTTTCATGGAAACAGTACGCCCTCATGGCTGTGGCCACTATCACAAAGCAAAAATGGTTGAGGAATGGTTTGAGGAGCACTGTGCATTGACTTGGGCTCCATCTTCCCCAGTTTTAATCCAGTTTAATCATCTGTGGGATGTGCTGGTCAAACAAGAACAATTCATGGAGGCCCCACTTTGTATAACTTACAAGACTTCAAGGATCTGTTGCTTACATCTTGGTGCCAGATACCACAGCACACCTTCAATGGTCCATACCTCAACCATTTAGGCCTGTTGTGGTAGCATAAGGGGAACCAACAGAAAATTAGACAGGTAGTCAAACTGTTACATCAGAATATTTAAAAGAAGGTGGGTGGGTGTGGGACAGCTCTGTGAACATACTGGGGACTATGCCAATTATAGAGAATCATCTAGAATCATCTATACTTGAAGATGCCATTGTTGCCAAAAGTTGTTTTTAACTATAAGGTCTGTACTATATATAACAAATGGAATATTTTCATCTTTATTATGAACAAACTGATAAAGGACTACAAAATCTATTTGGCTATGATTGTTGTGGATAGATTGATCAGAGAAAATGAACTGAATTATTTTAAAAGGTTTGAAGCATATAAAAAAGAGTCTAAAGACATTCAGATCTCATTGCATGCGTGTGTGTACACCTGTACATGTATTTTAGGGACGGACACCAGCTTTCTGGTGCTGTGCATGATGCTGGCAGCAGATGTGACACCAGCTTCTGCTACAGCAAATGTAAGAGTTTTACTGCATTTATTCTTTTTTTGTATTCACTAAAGATTGTATACAGATTGTATACAGTGTAATATTGTGAAAAAAATGTTTTTTTACTATTATACTTTTTCTTTTCTTATCTTTAAGGCATGCTTAAAAAAACATATAGAAATCTGCCACTATAGATGCGGGTTGATATAACAGACTAATAGTTTTGCTCTGCAGTCCATGCACCTAGATTACTTACACACCACCTAGTGGTCAGATGTAGAAATGCATGGCATAGAAATGAGTCAGTCATGTTTCCTGCTGATTTTATGACCCCGAATAATGGTCTTGGTCACATTTTTTTTTAAAATCCAGTACTTTTGTTTGTTACTTGCCTTTTTCTAATTTTTTGGCATTTTACATTCATGTGATCATTTTACAAGCTGTTTTGATCTTTTATCCATCATTATATGCAGTTACTTTATTTATCTAATGACATATTTGTTTATGTGCGCTCTAGCCAAGCATCATAGAGACCCTCATTCTGGCCACTTTCCAGCGTCCCTGGCTCTGGGGTCTCTATGTCTTTGTTGTTGGACTCCCCATCGTTCTCTTCATAAGCTTCATGTGGCCAGACAAGGTACATTATACTTAAGAGTAGTTTGGTCTTCCAGAGAAATACGACAGCTCCAAAAAAAACGAAATCTTTAACTGTGTGGTGTGCTTGCTTACAGAGGTTTGGTCCCCCTGATCAACCATATTACTATAAGAAGAGTGATGAGGATCAATCAGATGACCTTGAGCTCTCACCACCAAGGAAATCGATAGAAAAAGGTAATTTATTATTATTATTATTATTATTATTATTACATGAATGCAACAGAAGGAGTCTATTTCTACAACATGAAATTTAAGATATGTAATGAAGAAATAAGTAAAGCATTATCTGAGCTCTTAGGCAAAGATCTTGTGACATTAATTACACAGTGTTTGGAAATAGCTAGCTTATATTTTCTTAAAATTAATTCAACAGCCCTTTAAGTTCCTTTGCATCATATTAATTGGGCAAAATTATATATATATAATTATATACAATTTCCTATTTGTTTTTTATTGGAACCAGACAGTGATTATCTAATTTAGCTAGTTTATAACAATTTTTTGTTTTTTTGACAAAGTCTAAGTAGGATTGTTACTAAACCTGCGGCCGGCCATGGAAACTGTTGATGAAACTTTTTGTCTGTTTCTGTATGTGTATCTAGATTCATGCACCAGAGCAAGAACCTCAGAACAGGAAACCCAACAAACTCACAAGAACCTGCTGAGAAGAAAGGCCAAGGAATGAATGGCATCCCCTTACTTAGGCAAACTAAAAAAATTAATATAACCAATGTATTCGTATTTAGTTGCACATATATGGGTCCTATCATCACCCCACAAAACTGCTCAGGAATTATACAGAGGAACACGAAAGCTAACCTGACACCCCCTCCCACCAACTCACTACATATGCAGGATATGCTGCAACAAGCTTGATTCACAGAGGCCGAAACCCACAGTTAACTGGACATAACATATGCCGTGTGTTGGGAAATGACACATTACTGCAGTAACTAAGTACTTCTATATATCAGTTCCTCTTGCCTGCTGTGTACATAACTGGTTCCACCAAAAAGTATACCTGTTTTTGAAGCTATGAACTTGAGTCATAAAAACGAATAAAAATTTAAGATCACACCAGAGTATTTTTTTTAAAGTTCATCTTCTACAGTCTTTGCTTGATTCCTGTTTTGGCTGTTACAATTGAACTGTACACTGGCATTAGAGGAAATAATTGCGTTCTTGCTAGAAAATAAGTGAGAATAAATGTCAGTCTGTCCATTAGCCAGTTTAGCTTAGCACAAAGGCTAACTTCTCTATCCAAATGCTGCAACATTTTCTAAGAAACATATTTAAGATTACTACCTGTTATGAAGTTTACTTTTACTTGTGAGTAAAAAATGAGAACATCTGTTTGTCACAACAGCTGTACAGATTCTCAGTTGATATCGTGCACACATTGCTTGAGAGTTGCTTGTGATACAGCCACCAGTAATGAGGGAAAAATCTATTCTCCAGTTAGAAGCTGAGTGTTTCTTTGCTGTGACTAGGTGAAATCAGATGCAAGAGTGTGCTACATCCAAGGCCTGTTTATGATTGCCTTGGCCACTAGCTGATTGCTGTGGTTGCCTGTAGTTTGCATGGAAGATACAAACTCTTCTGCAAACACTTGCTAACGACTATTTGAGTAGAAACATTATAGGATGAACTGGAAATGGTGAACATTCACCCTCAAAGTAAAAGTTGCACTTCATTGCTACAGCAACATATTTCAAAAAGTGTAATGTTTTCATTGAAGGCTAATGTTCTCCTCTTCTGGTTTTGTGTTTTATTACCACCTGGAGTGTAGTTGGACAGTTTTTACAGATGAGCTGGTGTGTTCTGTGTAAAGTACAGGCAACCGCGGCAATCTGCAAGCAACCAAAGCAAAAGAGATGTTTTTTTGCCAACTGGTCAGGCAATACACATTTTTCTGTAGCAACCAGTGGTTGCCAAGCAGTCAGTGACCAGTCTCTAGGACTGCGTGACTGGGCTTTACCAGTCAACTTTCACAGCGACTACCAGCAACTTCAAGCAATCACTGTGATTGTTTCCCATCCCTGTGTGACTGGTGATTTATTTAGTTGATCCTACATTTTCAAAAATAGTGGACAAATTAACATCACATGGTTAGTTGTCACATGACCACTCATGCTAAACTAAGCTAACCTGCTACTCCAACTATATATTTAGCATACAGATGTGAGAGTGGTGGCAAGTACCTTGTTTAACTTTACTGAAGAAAAAGGCATATTTACACAATGTATGCCTGCTGTGACAGCCAACACTACTATATACTATTACATCCTCCTACAGCATCACTGTCTAAAGCTGTCATTGTTTGGTTATTAATGCTTTCAACCAACAGAAAACTTGCCTCTTCTTCCCTTGAAATGAAATCACTAAAAGCCAATTAATACAGTCGAGTCTCTTTGTAATCCTTTGAGACAAAATATCTTCTGCTCTTCCTGCTCCTGTTAGAGTTGACCTTCAGTGGCATTTAGCTGCTGGCAACATCTATTAAAAATGGCACAACACTCACTCATCAACAAAATGACTACTTGACTCTTTAATGACACTGACAAAGAATGCAATACAGATCAGTGATAAGTGGTGGATGGATCTGCAGACTATCATCAAATGCACATTTTTGAAAAGGAATAACTTCAAATAACCTTCTGCTAAAATTGTTTGAAAAAGTCTGTTCTCTTATTTTATGGTGTTTTCCTGAAACCGTGGCTGGATTTTGGGAAGCGGACATCTGTTCTGGATATTTGCTGCATATTTCTTCACTGTAGAGAATCAGGTATTTGGTCAAGTTCTTCTTGTTCTTCTTGGCCACAAACGTGGTTTTGTTCCAGCTGAGGGGAAGATCCAAATAGCAGCATTTGCTCAGGGGCAAAAATCAAAGAGATAAAACCAAACTGGAAAAAGCGAAATACTTATTCATTTGCGACTTCTTGCCACTTAGGGTGTTGTGATATCCAAACACGAAGAGGATGAGAGGCTCTCTGTTGCTGCTGCTCATACTGACAGCTTATATCCAGTCTCTGTGTGTAAGTACGTGGATCTGACACGTTTCTTTTTACATAATTTACCAGGTAGGCTGATCATTTGAATTTAATTTTAAGTTGTATTTACTTCATTTTTTCCTAAACCACAGCAAATGTCAAATGAAGTTCTTCTGCCTAATATATGATGTTAGCTGTGTGTCGTATTGACCAATTAACAATGCAATCTACCATTTAAGCATATTTTGACAAATGATGAAATCAACTTAGCCACGTAACTCTAATTATGTCTTTTTTAACCTATTTTAAATTGCAGGACATATACAAACTCAGAACAGTTCATATTTAAATATTTATGAAGATTCATTGTAGGATCAGATTAAAGTTGTACCACTCAGGAGGCAGAGCCTCAGGTTACCTACCAAGTGGAAATTTGATAGCTTGATCACTGGCTCTTCTGGTCTGCACAGGCAAGATACTTAACCCCGAACTGCCCGAGTATGTGTCAATGGTAGGCAAAGTGTTTAGGCAGGCAATAAAGAGTGGAAGACTGCTGTATAAGTACCAGGCTATATTTCCCCAAATGATTCAGTTTGAATTGTACAGCCTGATCTTGAATTTAACATAAGAATAAAAGTAAGTATTAAACAATGGCACTTTATGTGGCGTATCAGATTTCAAAATTATAGTTATTCAGCTTGTCAAAACTGCAAATGCACATAAACATTAACTGGATATGAAGCTTGGAGCAGAGGGTTAAATGTTGATTTGACTGGAAGCTGATGCTTATTTTTTTAAAGAAAAGTTTTAGTGATGTGTTACAGGGTTAGATTCAGTTTTGTTGTATAATCTATGTTTCGCTCTGTATATCAGCATAACATTGGATACCTATCATATGTTATGTGTAGAGGAGGGAATGAGAATGAATGATGATTCTTACAATTACAGCAGAACAATTATGTGTGTGTAGGCGTCAGACAGTTGCCGTGAGGAGGCGGCTCGTCTGCGGGAGCGGGAGAATCTTCTGAAGGGCCAACTTCAGAAACAAGAGCTCCTTCTGCACAGATTACAGCTCCTGAACCAGCCTCGTAACAACAAAGTCAGAGGTGACCAGAGCCAGGACAGACAGTATGCAGGTCAGGGCAACACCTTCAGGATTAGACTAAAAATATCTTCTTTGAAAATCTCCTGCCGCAGAATCACAAACCAGATAATGTGTTAAATACAAAATATGTGTCTACATATTTAAATTTGAGGGTATATGCATCAGATTGCTCCCAGGTCTTCAGCGCTGGCCACAAATCCAGTGGTTTATACAGAATCAAAGCCAATGACAGCCCTTCTCCACTCCAAGTGTACTGTGATATGAGCGACGGAGGTGGTTGGACCATCATTCAGAGACGGATCAGCGGAGCTCGGACATTTAACAGGTGTGTCTTACATCTAACAGCAAGGGTAAAAAAATTTAATTATTTACATTTTAAAAAATTTCTATTTGCCTACAAGGTCATGGGAAGAGTATAAGAATGGTTTTGGGGACATGGATGCAGAATTTTGGCTCGGAAATGACAACCTGCATTACATCACCGAACAAGGTATTAGCAATGTACTATATTATTCTTATTGTTTAAAGGTGCAGTAACTGATAGCATATATTATCAAGTGGAACACAATAATGGCAGAACATTGCTCTCTGCTCTTGTTCACTACGCAATGACTTGTGGGTAAAAGTCAGTGTCCTCTGGCGTCAGTGGAGTTGTTACAGGTTTTGGACATGTTTTGACGCAACAACGATAGTGTTTTGGCCCTCACCATATTGTTATTATTAGTATTATGTTTTTATTTTATTTTATTTTTTTGAAGCCAGCAGCTATCAGCTAATGTTAGCAAGCTTGGTTAGCATGATGAATTCATAAACTCTAAAACTGAAATAGTGCAACACACAAACACAAATATCTGCTAATTAGTGCTAAGTAAGCAACATTAACAAAATACTAGAATTTCACTCACCAAAACTGATGCACAGACTTCCTGTTGCAATATGCAAAAATGTAACAAACACAGTTGGGTGGTTCAGGTCAGTGAATACTATCCGATTGTTCAGTGATGACGTGACGAATCCTACTTCCGGGCCTAAAGTAGTCTGCATTTAATATGGCTTTTGTGTTGTTAACATGTTTAATGTTATGTATTTTCTTCTATTTAATCTCAAAAAGCTCCTAAAACATTCAGTGATCACTGTTGACCTCCCTCGGCTTTTATTACCGGTAATCATTTATTTAAGATTAGTTTTTAAAACCTTAGGATGTAACTACAGCCCAGGTAATGCAGCAGTATATGAATGACTAACCTCGAATTGTGGATGGATTATCTCAGTTGTTCTCCTGGCTGAAGTTTGGTCCTTTTACAGCATCCTGCCATGCGATTACATTTGTTCCTGACCACCAAGAACACTCACGTTAACTTTTATCGAGTGGAAAAAAAGTTAGCTTGTTATATTGGGCTAACATAGCTGTGTCGCTAGCGGTCACCAGCTAGCCAAACTTCAGTAACCCTACAAATGTCACTGCTGTTTAGTTTTCTGTCTTCATTTATGCTGGAAGTGATAACAGAGCTGTACGTTTTAATTTGTTTCCAAAACTCCGCAGTCAGGACATGCTATATTGTATTTAGATAGAAGCTAGCGAGCTAACTC